GTGTAACATGCATTGCTCATTGAGACTACTGCACATATATCCTGCTTTGTCATGAGGATCTACATTCTCTAAACTTAAACATTTCATAAAAGTGTCCTACTCTCTGGATTTCCTGGGCAATATATTTAATAAAAATAACAACTCTAGAAGCACCAGCAGCTTCATTAAATTGATACCAGCAACATTACAGCATTAATAGTAATAATAAAATATATATTTAGATTTTTTTTTCATGGATGAGTTCCCAGCAAAAGATTGACTTGCTTTTCCAATCTTCTCAATTTCAACAAAAGGGCTAGAAAAAACTTCCATCCTGGTCCATTCTGCTCCACTGAGTTGGTTATGAAATACGGAAAACATAGACTATTATTAAGCAAAAAACTGAAATTACTGACCTGTAGCATTTTTAAATGAAAGTGATATAGTGTATTATATACTATATGCTCAACTAAGTGTTTCTAGGAGACAGTGGGTGGACCCAGTTTACTCCTGTGGATTTGATCTCCTTGTGCTTGTAGGTCCATGGATGGCAAGTTGTGAATCTTGCGAGTATTACTGGGTTAGAGGTCGATATTATGATATTTATCCCTGCCAAGGATGGCTGATTCAAAAATCTGGATTCCCCAAACATCACCTCGAAAGAAATGACACAGATATCTAGGAGGTGTAGAGTCTGTTTTAAGGGTCATTTTCATAGATTGAGACACCTGAGTTCTGTGTTTGTGGCTATCCATCCAAGTATGTGAAAATAGAGATGAGCTCTGATAACAGAGTACTTGTTAGTTTACCTGTCTCCAAAGCACCATTTGGAAAAAAATATTTTATGGTTTTGACATAGTAGATTTTAGAGAGAAGCTTTTACTGGTGGCAGTAGATTGAAAAATAGAAAAGTATTAGGAGTTTAAAGGGATAATAATAATTTTTATATTGATGTTTTAATTACTTAGTTTCCTGTTTCCATTTTTCTTGTTCTCTTCCCTCTTCTGTTCTGTTCTGTTCTCATATTCATTCCCTGTGCCAGTGGGAATAGCCTTAATCTTTCAGGAAATTTTTAGTACACAGAGAGGACCTGACATCAAAAACTGTTCACTGAGGCTTGAGATTTAGCTTAATGATTCCAGCTACTGGAAAAGATCAAAGGGGTCTGGCACTTGGACTGTGTAGACTTGCAGAGGAACACAAGAGTGATGGTGCTGTGTATGTTTCAAAGGGCAGAGGTTCCCCTTAACAAAGTGCTAGGTGTAAAAATTCTTTATTGTTGGCAAGTAGAAAAATCCTGGCTTGTTTTCAAGTGGAGTAGTGTATGGAGTTGTGAGCATTTAAAAAAAAAAAGTTGTGACAAAATTTTCAAACTCCTCTAATGTTTTAGACTAGGTGGTAAAATACTTAGTATTCTGCACTGTTAGAATACATTGTCTCAGTTACTGTCGATCAGACACATTATCAGAAACATTACGGTGTTTTTAGATCAGAATTTGTTTCTAGTGAATAATGAGAACTGGCACTGTTCTTGGTAGAGTTCTGAGTGGATAGAGCTGAAAAGACAGAGGAAGGTTAAATGAAGCCAGGTAGCTGGAAGGAGCAGAATGTAGTTATTGTGCTTGAGGTATTTCAGTTGGTCTGTTGAGAAGATGGAAGTTTGGGGGTTTGCTGACCTGGCAAGACACTTCTTTGAAGCAATTGTTTGTTGCTGATTTTTGAAAGGAGGGTAGAAAGCAATGCATAAATATGGGAGTACACAATCCAGTGAAACACAAAGCAGCTCTTGTAACCAAAGGAAATACAACTCTATGTGTACATGTAGACAGGGTTCAAGTTATCTGGAGTCTCTTTCGTCCTTTTCTGTCTAGAAAAAGATATTTAAACCACAGCAATGCTAAAAATACATAGAGTGCATTTCATCTAATATATAATTATTTCTATCAGTTGCTACATCTTGTAATTTCATCTGAATGAAGTCTTTTGGAAAAAAAGAAGCAGAAATTAGTCAGTGTTTTTTGGATTTAGATCCAGAATCTGTATCCATTCTCTGACCTTGAAAGATAAATATGTGGCTGTGCACCTGAAGGGTTCAGGCCTGTTGATCCACAAGGTTAATATTAATTTAAAATCATACGGTAGAATCTATTACTTCAATATATTTCTCAATAATTTCTTTTCAAATTGTAGTTTGTCTTCTGTGTTCATTATAAAGTCAAGGAAGATAATTTCCTAATCCAGGGACTGAAGGATGTATGGAGAGTGCTCGAGGAATGCGTCACTGTTATATAATAATGGAAGCTCTTGTCCTCATATAACTGCAGTGTTGGAAAGTGGATAGTGAATGAGACAGAATTCTAGGAGGCAAAAAGGTTAATTTATAAAGGAGATATTTTGAATTGTAAGCTTATATCATATCCTGTAGTGTTTCTGTAAAATGCTGAGAAATTAATTTTAGATGCAGGTTTTCAACACATCTGGTAATGGACAATGTGTTTTATTTGATGGTGGAAAACTAAAAATTGATTGTAAGATTTTCAAAAATACCAAGGGCTTGCAACTGCAATTGAAGCCACCATATATATACTATAATGTAATATGCTAGATCTTGTTAAAAAAATATGTACCAAAAATTTCAAACTACACACTTAGGATCTTACACTAATTTGATCTCAGTTCTACATGTGAAAAATTATTGACCATGGTCGCCATCCAAAGAAAAGATGTTGATGTAATCTGATTATGTGAAGGGCTCCGATTTCCTTTGTTTACTTCAATAGAACAATTCACAATGAAATAATAACTTAAAAGAGTCGAGTACAAATGTTTGGAAATCATGTATGGAAAGGAATATATAGATTAGTGATATATTCTGTTTTAAATGTTCAGTTGTCAGGGAGGTCACATTTCAGTGTCTACTTCTGTGTAGGCAATTTAGGAGCTCTGAATTATTATCTAGGAGTTTTCTCCTCACAGCTCACCACAGAGCCTTAAGACTCATAATGTTGGGGATCTAAGTATGGACACCCTTTGATTTCCCATCCCTCCCTTTTCTCCTGCTTTGAATTTTCTACATTGAAAAATAAGTGTGGACTATCTTGATTAAAGATAATAATATGATTAAGATGCATGGTAGAGTGGAATTGCAATGGCATGTGACATTTTTATTTTTACTTTTTTTTTTCTTTTTTGCTTGTTTTGACTTGCTTGATTTTGTGGGCCTTGTTTATTTATTTATTTATTTGTACTGGAATGTTGCTTTTTATATATATTTCTAAAGTGCAGAAGAGGCAAAACCATATTAGAGGACATTTTACTGTGTGGCACATTCAGTTTTCCCTTTCGGTACTCAGTTTTGGAAAGATATTAGTGTTTCTCATTATCCACTTATTTAAATCTTATGTAGTCACTGAATCCTGTTTATGGAGTTATTTCCTGTGATATCATATGGTGGATGAGATATGGAGGTATTTTGGTGAGCTTTATTTTTCTGTGCAACACCAAGCATCCACTTAAAATGATGAGCCTGTGCTTCCTATTTAGTTAGGTGAGAGTATTCTCTGCAGATGGACATTCAGAATATCTGTATAGGAACCTTTTTGGGTTTTGGAGCCTATAGGGAAAGTAGATCCTAACTTGATATTTAAGACCAATACCTGCAATTGGAGAATGTAAATATTCCTGTGGGTAAATGTCTCTATTCCTGGGTTTTGTCATGGTTTAACCCCAGTCAGTAAACGAGGCCCAGGCAGTTGTTCACTCATTCCCTCAGTATCAGTAGGAACAGGGAGAGAATTAGAAGAGTAAAAGATAGAAAACTTGTGGGTTGAAATAAAGACAGTTTAATAGGAAAGTAGAAGCTACTCACACAAGCAAAGCAAAACATGGAAGTAATTCAGTGTTTCCCATGGGCAGGGAGGTGTTCAGCCACCTCCAGGAGAGCAGGGCCCCATCAGGTGTAACAGTTACCTGGGAAGGTGAATTCCATCACTCCACATGTCCCCACACCCATCTTCCTCCTACTTCCCCCAACTTTATTTGCTGAGCATGATACTACATGGTCTGGACTATCCTTTTGGTCAGTTTGAGTCACCTGTCCTGGCCCTGTCTCCTCCCAACCTCCCATGCCCTCCCATCTTCCTCACCAGAGTGGCAGTACGAGAAGCAGAAAAGGCCTTGGCTCTGTGTAAGCCTTGCTCAGCAATAGCAAAAAGATCTCAATATTATCAACTCTGTGTTCAGCACAAAGTCAAACCACAGCCTCATACCTGCTGCTGTGAACAAAATTAACTGCACTCCAACTGAAACCAGCACAGCTTTGGTATAGAATATCAGCTTGGTCATTTAAGTTAAAACATGCATTTTAGATGGAATATTTTGCTTAAGACAGTGGACAATTATTAATCAGTACTAAACAGATCTACTGTATGTATTATCCAGTTATTTCTTTAAGCAAGTCATATAAAGTTCACTTATGAGTAAAATTCCTCAGCTTTCCTTCCTTAGTTTTTAGTTATGTTGTCTTCAGGTCCTGACATCGCTGTAGTTTAATAAATACAATGCAGATTTTCCTTTAATCTATTATTTTAGTACATTGCATTTTAAATAGCATTTTACATGTTATAAATTCGCCTTGAACTATGACAGGCAATTTGGTTGTGAATAAAAAAGAAAGAGATTGTAGTTCACAAAATCAAAGCACCTTCCTTTCTATTTGTGCTGAATGTATTGCTGGAAATGTTTTAATGTGGTATTATGTGCAAAAATGTGGAAGTCAGGTAAAGAACATTACTGATGTAATTTTTAGTTACATATTAATTTTTCTATACTTGGCACTCCCCATTTTTAAAATTAAATGGAAATAAGCCCATAGTGCAACTTAATATAAGCATACAACAAATATTAAAGCAAATCCTTTTAACTCAAAATAGGAACTTTTCCCTTCCCATCTGATACAGATTTTAGTTCAGGGTAGTTGTTTTCAACATGTTGCACTCAGTTGTGCAAACTTATCTTTTTAGGGTCAAAGAAGAGCAAAAACCACAGCCGACACAGTAAGTAAAGTATCTTCAAGATGCACTAGGCTTGACTTTTCTACCTTTGCCATGTTCTGCTCTCTGCACCTTTGATGGTATTAGCTTTCACTGATACCTGATAGGCTGCAGGTAGTTTGTCATCTGCTTCCTGACTGGCTTGTAAGAGAGCTGCCTGTAGCTTCTTACTCCATCCACATGTTAGCTGGATGTAGGTTCTTGCTCCCTGCTTGTGAACTGGTGACTTGTAGAACTTTACTTCCCTTTCACCCTTAGTGGCTGACTTAGTTCTTTAGTTCTGCAGCTCACATTCCCATTGGCTCTAGCTTTTCCGCCTGTGTATTTCTACTAACGTTGGATAAGAAAACATTTAAACTAGTGTGGTTTTATTGGTTATTCAGTCACATTATTTGCTTGTTCAAACAGGTGGTTTCCCTTTAGTGGGATCACTGAGCTGGTAAATAACGTTCTTCAACCACAGCAAAAACAGCAAAATGAAAAGGAGCCCCAGACGTAAGTAAGCTGCTCTCTGTAGATTAAGTAACATCTGTGTAGCATTAGAACATCCTGGAGAGTATGTTATAATAATTGCCCCTTTAGAACAAGCAGGTGAGGGCATTTTACAAGCTGAGCACGATTTGCTTTCCAACCCCTCATTTGCAAAGGGAAAACTGAAAATCAGGTCTTACTCTCCTTATCAGTAACTTAAATGATTGCATTAGAGTGCAATTTAAGGAGTTTCTACTACTCTATCTGGTGGTGTTTTTGTTTTTTTTTTTTCTTTTTCTTTTTTTTTTTTTCTTTGACAAATGTTCCTTATAATCAAACTTCTGGTGAAGTGTTTTCTGTGCATGAGAAGCTGGAATGATAAGACATGTAGCATTATTTATAGCATGTCTATGCACATGCGTGGTCTGAGTCATGCATAGAATGCTATATGAATCTACCTAATATGTCAGAAGAGCTTTCTAAGGACCAGGAAAATACCATGTCATTTTTTTCATGCTTTTAGAATATCTGTCAAGTTTCAGAACTTTAGCAGATATAAGGTGAAATCTTGGGTCAATCAAAGTTCAGGAAGTTTTGACTTTGATGGAGCCAGTATTTCATCTATGAACCTTTTATATGATTTTTTTTTTTGCTATCTGAAAATCTCAAGTTTTAACAAAAACTGGCAAAGCTAGGACATTGAGTCTTAGAGTAGAACTTAAAGCATGGAGAGGAAAATATTCCTTTAATAAAGAGAAACTAAAAATATTTATTATAAATTTTCAAATTGCTAAAATGTATTTTGGATGTTATTTAAGCTTTAAACAGTTAAGTTGCTCTCTCTTCTTTCTTCTAGAGGTTTATGCCTTGTAGGTTCATGTGATGAAAGAAATGTTTGGTTTTGAACTCATGCATAACTGGTTTAAAGCATGCATATAACTTGCTAATTACTTTCCAGGCAGAATCAATTTTTGTTTATTTTTTAGTATATGTATTAAAGTGGATCTTCATACTTGTGGGTCATGAAAGCTGTGATGTTTTTTGAGAATACATGGTGAAAAAATTTCACTAATTAAAATGGAAAAATAGGACATAAAATTGATATTCTGTAAAGCAATGTGTTATTCTAAGCTCTCTTTCTGATATTCTCACTTAACTGCTTATAAAATTGTGTACATATTAATAGTGATTTTTTTTTGTTATTATTAGATAGTGGCAATATTACATTTTGTTCATAACACCTCAGTACTTAGTATTCCCAGTTTCCTTAACAGCAAAAGTTGTTCTGCTCACTAGTGTTGTACATATGAAGCATATGGCTTTCAAGAAACTTAAAATTCTATATGGGCAGTGTAAACAGATGAGTAATAGTTAACAAAAATATTAATAAATGATTACTGTTATTATGGAAGGATCTTTTCAAATGGTCACCTCTTTGGGAACCAGTTTTGTTCAGTGTTTTTATTATACAACTGAGAAATTAATTAATTAGTATACTCACTGAATTTTTAGATACACTTCTCCCAGTCTTGTGTTAACACCTTATGGCAAGATTATATTAAAAAATTATCCTGAAAACCCCAAGCTATGGTTATGATGTTATTCAAAAGGAAAAATGCAAAGGGGTGTTCTGTAGGGCTAGTTAATGTGGTTGACATAGGACACATAAAAATTGTAGGGAAATGTTCTTTGGCAGAGAATCAGGGAGCCCTAGTAGTATGTAAGTTGAGCTGTAGCCAGTGTCCTGAAAGAGATTAATGTCACACAGGAATGTACAGACACTAGCCAGGAAGCACTGTGAAGAAGTTTTCCCACTGCTAGGCTTTGGTAAGGTCTCACCTGGAATAGCACACCCTTCAAAAATTATGTGCAGCAGTTGTAATTTAGTGGAGAGTAATAGGAATGAATAATTAGGTGACTAAAAACCATGGTATGTGTTAGGAAAGAATCAAACACATGAGTTAATTTAGCCTCCTAAAAAGAAAATCCCAGGGAACGAAGGAGATGACAAGTGAAAGGAAATGATCACTTTTCCATGTTCATCTCATGGTGAAGCTGAAAGGAGTAAACTTAAGTTGCATAAGGGAGGACTGAACTTGGTAGGGAGAACTTTTTAATGGAAAGAAAACTTAAAATGCTTGCATACTTTGTTCAGGGCTTGTTTGGAAGCTGAGAAAATCTTAAGGAGCAGGTTTGTCTCCTGTTAGAGGAGACACAAGTGTAGCTGGTCCTGTGCTGGAACAAGAGAATGGACTAAATGACTTTTAAAAGTGTCTTCCAGCACTGCTTATTCGTGATAATTTCATTAATGTGTTAATTATCAGGATTTGTTTTCATGATTATTGTAAACATTCAGGGAGAAAATTGAACAGAAATACTAATGGTGCAGCTTTTAAATTTTATTTCTTTTTTCTGACATTAATGGCTTGCAAAAGAGTGTTGTACCAGGGAGCACTGTGGGACACTGGGGAGGGGAATAAATGTCTGTAGAAATTTTTACCACTATTCATACATATTGAGGTATTTTCCACTGTCAGTATCTGAGACTAACTTTGAGATATACTGATTGTCCACCTTTGCTGATGAAAAAGCTTATTTACAGTGACTCTGGGGAGGACAAAATGTGATGAGTAATAGCAGAATAGGAGTTAGTAGTGTCTGAAAACAAGGTATCATGTTACAGATTTCACTTTTGCTCTGGAAAAGGTATTTTTATGGAACCATTGACCATGTGTGCTTATGGGCAGAGATAGGATTAGTCTGATGCTCTTGGACATGAGTTCTGTATCACAAAATCACAGAATGGTTGAGGTTGGAAGAGACTTCTGGAGATCATCTTGCCCAACCATTCTTCTCATGCTGGATCACCTAGGGTCATTGTTTAAAACTATGTGTAGCTGGATTTTGGCTGTATCTAGGGATGAAGACTCTAGAAAATCTCTGGGTAAGAGATACATGTTCTAGTCCTTGGTCACCCCTAGAATGAAAAGTGTTTCTCTCTGCTCAAAGGGAACTTCCTGTGCTTCAGTTTGTGCCTATTGCCTCTGATCCTGTGACTGGACACTGCTGAAAAGAGCCTGGATCCATTCTCTTTCCTTCAGGTATTTGTATTTATTGATAAGATCTCCTCCCTGAACTTTTTCTACTCCAGGCTAAAAAGGTCAAACTCTCTGACTGTCCTCATGTGAAAGAAGCTTCAGTCCCTTTTTGGCCTTTTTCTGGACTGTCTCCAGTATGTCCATGTTTCTCTTTAACTGGGGAGGCTGGAACTGGGCACAGAACTCCAGGTGCGGCTTTGCCAGTGCTGAATGAAGGGTAGGATCACCTCCTTCTGCCTCATCAGGCAGAAAATAGGTTTGCCTAATACAGCCCATTCACTTCCCTTTGCTCAAGGCCTGCTGCCCATGCTCAGCCTGGTGTGCACCAGGACTTCCAGGCCCTTTTCTGCAGAGCTGCTCTCCAGCTGGGCAGTTCCCAGTGCACCGCTGCTTGTGCTTCCTGCCCAGGTGCAGGACTTTGCATTTTGCTTTGTTGAACATGGTGAGATCCTGGTCAGCCTGTTTCTCCAGCCTGTTAAGATCCCTCTGGATGGCACCATGACCTTCTGGTGTATCAGCCACTCCTCCCAGTTTGCTGTCATCCACAAACTGGCTGAAGGTACCTGCTGCCCCATCATCTACATCAGTAAGAGATTGAACAGGACTGGACTCAATAATGACCCCTGGGATAAACCTCTGGGAACTGGCCTCCAACTGGACTTTGTGCCACTGATCTCCCTGCCCTAGGCCCAGCCATTCAGCCAGGCCCCAGTCTACTTCAAAGTCTGCTCACCCAGTCTGTACTTCATCAGCTGCTCTGTGAGAATGTTATGGGATACAATGGGAAAAGCCTTATTGCAGATAAGATGGACAATACTCACTGCTCTCCCCTTATTTTGATCATTTCATTGTAGAAGGTCATTACATTGGTGGAGTATGAGTTCCCCTTGGTTAATGCCTGCTGACTCCTGATCACTGCTTTGTATTTCATGTTCCTAGAAATAGTTCCCAGGATTAGTTGTGCCATCACTTTCCCAGGAATTGAGATGAATCTGACCAGTCTGTGGTTCTGCAGATCCTTATGCTTTTTCAAGATGGAAGTGACATTTTCCTTCCCACAGATGTTAGGCACCTCTCCCAGTTTCTGTGATCACTCTAATACTGAGAGTGGTCTTGCATATCTTGGCTTGATGAAGAATACTTCTTCCTCCAGCACATGTGTTCTTCATCATGAGTTTTATCAGCAGTGTTTGAGATATTTCCATATTTTAATCCTTAAAGCGTAGAAATACTTAGCTGCCCCCTGAAGCAACTGTTTTTGATGCTTAACAATCAGCCTACCAGTTTTTATTTCTTCAGATTTATAAGGTATATATTTTGCAAAAGATATGTTCAGGTTGTTCCTCATTAGCATTTGGTGGTCTTGTGCCTAAGGGTTTGACTTGGGGTTTATATCTTTCTTCTGCATGAATCTTGGAATGTTGTGTAATCTCCAATCACAATAAAGGAATTCCCATGCTAGAAGGCACTGAAGATTCCACTATTGTAATATTGTATATTGGCAGCGTTCAGCCATGAGTACCTGAGAACACACATAAGGAGAAGGGTATGCGTAGAGTGGTTCTGATACAGGGATTTTAGTGACTTCCTTAGGCAGTGGCTGCATGCATACTGCTGGATTTATTCCCTGGCAATAAGGAATCTGTTTGCCACAGTTATTTGCAGTCCCGTTTTACACCTACTTTTATTTTTGGTTTCAGAACTTGGTGAAAATGAATTCTTCATCTTAATTATCTGTATGGAGAAATTGTCACCCTTTTGTCATAAAACAGTTTCCTGATATTTTCAGTGGGAATTGCTAGTGTTGTGTTATATAATTTATCTATAATATATATAACCTTTAGGCATTTCTATTATGTTCCATGCAGTCTGTTATATTTCATACAGTTATGCCTTTAAGCTGCAGAGTCAGAGTTTTTCCTTCTA